ACAAAGAAGAAAACTACAGGCTAATATCCCTGATAAACATAGATGCAATAATCCTCCACAAAATAGTAGCAAACCAAATTCAACAGCACATTAAAAAGATCATGCACCATGATCAAGTAGGATTCAGCCCAGGGATGCAAGAATGGTTCATTATATTCAAATCAATAAACATGATACATCCCATTAATAGAATCAAGAGTGCAAATTATATGATCATTTCAATATATACAGAAAAAGCATTTAATAAAATTCAGCACCCATTTATGATAAAAACCCTCAACAAATTAAGTATAGAAAGAAAATACCTCAACACAATAAAGGCCATATATGACAAACTCACAGCTAACATCATATTGAATAGGGAAAAGTTGAAAACTTTTCCCCTAAGATATGGAACTAGATGAGGATGCCCACTGTCCCCACTTCTATTCAACATTGTACTGGAAGTCCTAGCCTGAGAAATCAGGCAAGAGAAAGAAGTGAAGAGCATTCAAATTGAAAAAGAAGAAGTTAAATTTTCCCTGTTTGCAGATGACATGATCTTCTATATAGAAAAACCTAGAAACTCTGCCAGAAAGCTGATAGAAATTCAACAAAGTTGCAGGGCATAAAATCAAACTACAAAATTAATAGCATTTTTATAGTCTAACAGAAAACTACATGAAAAAGAAATCAAGAAAGCAATTCCATTTACAATTGCTGCACAAAACACATCTAAGAGTAAATTTAACCTAGGAGATAAAATATCTCTATGGTAAAAACTATAAAACATTGATGAAAGAAATTTAAGAGGACACAAGCAAATGGAAAGATATCCATTATTCATAATTGAAAGAATTAATATTGTTAAAATATCCATACTACCCAAAGAATCTACAGATTCAATGCAATTCCTATCATAATATCAATAACATTCTTCACAGAAATAGAAAAATAATCCTAAAATTTGTATGAAACAACAAAAGACCCTGAAGAGCCAAAGCAATCTTGAACAAAAAGAACAAAGCTAGAAGCATCACACTACCTGACTTCAAAATAGACTACAAAGCTATAGTAACCAAAACAGCATGGTACTGGCATTAAAACAGACACAACACACAGACTAATAGAACAAAATAGACAACCCAGAAATTAATCTACACATTTACAGCCAACTGATTTTCAACAAAGGTGTCAAAAATATGCTCTGGGAAAAGGATAATCTCTTCAATAAATGGTGCTGGGAAAATTGGATATCTACATGCAGAATTAAACTAGATCTCTATCTCTCACCATATACCAAAATCACCTCAAAATGAATTAAAGACACAAATATAAGATTCAAAACTATGAAAGTGCTAGATAAAAACATAGGTAAAACGTTTCATGGTAGTGGTCTGGGCAAAGATTTTTTAAATAGAACCTCAAAATCCCAGACAACAAAAGCAAAAATAGACAAATGGATTGCATCAAACTAAAAAGCAAGCATAGCATAGTAAAAGAAGCAATCAACAGAGTGAAGAAACAAGCTACAGAATAGGGTAAAAATATTTGCAAATATGTGTCTCACAAGAGGTAAATATTAAAAATATATAAGGACCCAACAAAAATGCAAATAAGTCAATTAAAAATGGACAAAAAACCTACATAGACTTTTCTCAAAAAATAAGTATACAGATGACCAACAGGTATATGAAAAAGTGTTCCACATCACTAACCATCAGGGAAATACAAATCAAAACCATAGTGAGATATCACCTCACCCTTGTTAGAAAGGCTACTATGAAGAAGACAAAAAATAACAAATGCTAGCAAGGGTGTGAGGAAGGGGAACCCTTATATGCTGTTAGTGGGAACATAAATAGTGCAGCCATTATGGACAGCATTATGGAAGTTCTTCAAAAATTTAAAAATAAAACTACCATATGATCCAACAATCTCACCATTGAGTAAATATACAAAGGAAATTAAATGAGTACATCAAAGAGATATCTGGCACTCTCTTGTTTATTGCAGCACTATTCACAGTAACCGAAATATGGAATCAACGTATGTGCCCATCGACAGATGAATCGATTTTTTAAAAAGTGGTATGTACTCAACGAAATAGTATTCAGCCATAAAAAAGAATGAAATCCTGTCATTTGCAACAACATTAATGGAGCTAGAATACATTATGTTAAGTGAAATAAGCCAAGCACATAAAGACAAGTGCCACATGATCTCACTTATATGTGGAATCTAAAATAAAAAGATCTCATAGCAGTACAGAGTAAAACAGTGGCTCCAGAGACTGGGGAAGTGAGAGGCAGGGGTGATGGGAGGAGATTTTGTTTGTTTGTTTTGTTTTGTTTGAGACGGAGTCTCGCTCTGTGGCCCAGGCTGGAGTGCAGTGGCCGGATCTCAGCTCACTGCAAGCTCCGCCTCCCGGGTTCACGCCATTCTCCTGCCTCAGCCTCCCGAGTAGCTGGGACTACAGGCGCCCGCCACCTCGCCCAGCTAGTTTTTTGTATTTTTTTTTAGTAGAGACAGGTTTTCACCATGTTAGCCAGGATGGTCTCGATCTCCTGACCTCGTTATCCGCCTGTCTCGGCCTCCCAAAGTGCTGGGATTACAGGCTTGAGCCACCACGCCCGGCCGGGAGGAGATTTGTGAACAGGTGCAAAGGCACAGTTAGATAGACGGAATAAGTTCTTGTGTTCTATTGCACAGTAGGGTGACTATATTTAACAATAATGTATATTTCAAAATAGCTCAAAGATAATATTTTGAATGTACTCACCACAAATAAATGATAAATGTTTGAGGTGATCTACATGCTAATTACTCTGAATTGATCATTATCTAATGTATACATATAGCAAAACATCACCCTGCACCCCATAAATATGTACAATTTTTGTGTGTCAGTTGAAAACAAAATAAAATTTAAAAAATAAAAGTACAGTTTAGAGGCCATTGTGTTCATCCAGATTTGGGAAAGCTGCTGCAGCTTCAAATGACCTCAACACTTGTGTCCGCCACCTACTAAGATGAAAAGAGCACTGGGATAGTTCTATGTGAAGACCGGTGTGATTTTTCAGACCTGTTGTGCACTGGTTCTGGGGCATTGGGGAAGTGATTTTGCCTCTTTGTATCTATCTTGCTTGACTGCTTAATGGAACTCGTATATCCTGGTCTACCTACCTATGATTTTAAATCACACAATCTCATAAATGGAAAAGCGTAAGAGGAAGCAACTGGTCCCTATCCCCGTGTGAACCTTGACCCCTTCTCTTTCCTTCTTAGAGTTGCATCCCCAGCACTTGCTGTCCTGGGGAACCAAGAGTCACCACCAAGTATATCTCTGTAAACGGTTCACTACTTGAACACCTTCAGAAATGGAGAAACGCTCTCAGTCTCAGGATAGCCATCTCAATGTTGTACACCCTATCCATCAAAAATACCTTCCTCATATTTAAGTAGTAGTTGTTGTCCTGAAACTTCTATGAAGTTCTCCTAAATCAGGTCACATAGTACAAGCCTCATGCCAACTCTTCAGTGAACATGTCTCTTCAAGTCTCTTCGTCTGGTTAAATGTTCCCTGTTCCTGCAACTGTTCTTCAGGTGACACAGCTTTGCTCCACTCTCCTGGTCTCATTCATTTCAACAAGTTTTCCTGTCTCTTATTTTCCCCTCCGTGTGAAACACCTAGGAGCATTCTTTTCCACATAGCAAGCAATGACATATATTTGTTGGATTTCTTCGAGTGAACACTGTCTGCCTAAAGTGAAAAGGGATCTCCAAGAAATCAAGGTAGAGTGAAGTGTCAAGGGACGTGGGAATAACATATATAAGGTCAACACAGATAAGCAGTGTGGAACAACAGAGCAAGCCAACAGGCCTGCGTACTTCTCTCCTGAGGCACAGTAGACTCTTGGCTTTCTTTGTAAAACTCATGGGTTGCATTGGTGATTTCTCTGATTGTTAAATATAGGGTTTCAATCAAACACTGTCACCTTTTGAAGACTCTGAGCTTGAGGCTATGAGAGCACTTGTCAGAAAGGGCTTAAAGGTACAGGAGCTCCAGAATAACACTTCCTCGATAAATTGAACAAGATGGAAACAGAAATGAAATGCAAATAACTTTATCACTATAGGATTCATTATGATTTGATGCCCTAACTGCTTACCACATAAAATCACCACAAGTCACATGCAAATCAACTTATAATATCTTGGGAAGCCCTGGACTTGGAAGTATCCTATCAGATCAGAGAGAGAAGAGTGGAACTCTTGGCTGGTGATGTTTCTCCTCATTGTTTGGGGGATAAGAGAGGAGAATAGCACTCTGAGAAGTTCAAAGATACATTTCTCACCTCATAATTGATTGTCATATTTGCCTTTTTTTCTCTTTTTATTTCAGCCAAATTATCTTCCTTGGGTGAGTGGGGGAAAGAATTGTGTCTGCACCCCATGGTGACATTCCCCACAATGGCTGGAGTATGACTGTTCTGATTCTATTTCCAATGTATTCTTCCTTCCTTTCCTTCTAGTCCACTATTTTGGTGGCCTTTGCCAGCCAGGGGAGCAATAATAAGGCAGTCTGAAAACATGTCTGAGTCAATCAAATGTTTGCATCATGTGTATAAATGCATTTGCATTCATATGTGTATGCACAAACCATTTGGTGTGTATGTAATTGCTTATGCATATTTGTGATTTTTGTGGGCAAGTGTTGGCATATCTGTGTCTTTGTCATCATGTGTCTTGCTGTTACATATGTGTAAAAGTGAGTGTGAATACGTGCATGTGGGCTTTATCACCCCTGAAAGACAGCAACCCCACAGGTCCATGTCCTTAATAAGGAACAAAATATGGAGTCTCTCTAACATTTAAATTCTCATCTTGCTGACAGAAGAAAAGGGTGCAATAGGGCCTGACAGCTCTGCCGCCAAGCCCCAGACTAGTGCTCAGTCCCTCCCCAGAGTCTTCCACAGTTGATGTCCATGCTGCTGATGCCTCTTGCCTTTGGCCTACAGGTCCCTGTCTGGTCGCATCGTTGGCGGAGTCTGGTGGTTCTTCACCTTGATCATCATCTCCTCATACACAGCCAACCTGGCTGCCTTCCTGACCGTGGAGAGGATGGTGTCTCCCATTGAGAGTGCAGAGGACCTAGCAAAGCAGACAGAAATTGCCTACGGGACGCTGGAAGCAGGATCTACTAAGGAGTTCTTCAGGGTAGGGACATCCTTTGTCCCAAGGCATTTTCTCAAAAGGGAACCACAACTGTCAGTAAAATGTCCTTCTCATTATATAGCCTGAGATAACAGGCAGCCAGAGCAAGTGCTTAACTGACTGTAAGTCAGGGAAACTCAGGACATTTCTAAGCTTTCTACCACCCGCCTGAGAAATCCACATTTCTACATTTGTAGAAGCTTCAAAGCTCCTGCATTAATTTAGATCCCTTGCCTATATCAGTCTGTGCTAATTCTCTAAGGGCTGCAACAAACATCAAATACAATTTCCTCTCTGTTCTCACAGAAACCTTATAGTCTAGTTAGTAATAAATTAGGAACAGCTTATGGACAACAGCTGGACCTGATGCTCTTTGTGTCCCCTTCTATCTCTTAGAAGGAGCTCAGTGAATGTTTGTTGACTTGATGAATCAGAGGATAGTCTATGGGAAAAAAAAATAACTGGAAAAAAGTGATCTATTAAATAGTTCCAGGAGAGAGAGAAAATGTGAAGTGGGAGTGGAGGTGGTGAGATGTGTTTTGGCAGGAGACAGTGAGCGGAGGCAAAGGAGCAGAGAGCTTAGGAGCACAGCCTTCAAGGTCAGCAGATGGAGGCCCGGAACCTGGCTCCATCCCTTACTTGTTCTGTGCACTTAGCCTCTGTGACACCGTTTCCATTCATGCATATCATGAGGAGAATAATGTCTATATTAGAGCCTAACAAGACTAAAAGAGATAGGGTATCTAAAGAGGCAAAACAAGGAACAATCAATGGAGTTTCCATATACCATTAGGACTTTAGGAAATGCAAACATCTGGGAGTCATTCTGAAGAATCGGTAGAGAATGAAGCCATACAGGGTAGACATGTAAACATTTCTAGATATCACAAAACCAGGCCAGACCTGAGGAGGCTAAGTACATCCTAGATGAAAGGAACAACTTGAACAAAATGCCCAGAAGCAGGAAAACCTGTGGTTTCCCTGGACTTTAGGGATGTTTGTCCCAGGAGTTGAAGAAACAGTACATGGAACTACCACATATGGATCAAATAAGAATAATAAGAAACATTTGCTACCGTCTACATATGAACCAAGTCCTGTGCTAAGCACACCCTACACGAATTATCTCATTTAATCCTCTCATTAAAGATGAGTTAGAGATTGTCTCTATTTTATGGATTAGAGTTAGGATATGTCCCCATTTTATAGATCAGAAAATTAAAAGTAATCTCCTAAGATCACACAGCTAATAGTAGCAGAAGGAGCAGAGAGAGCAGGCTGCCATATTGCCTCAACAAAAGAGAAGGGATCCTGTACAGCCACACCTAGTTATCTCACTACAACTTCATGGAGCAAACTCCAGGCCCGAATAAACCACTGTGGGAGGTGCTGCAGGTTCTTGACCATGGGCTTTGTATTCTGTATGATAGCCAGGAAAGGGAACAAAACCTTAACCATCACTGATCCTAACCCCAAGGCTAAAATCATCAATTTTCAATGTATCAGAGCAAGAAGGTGCCTTAGAGGTCACCTAGTCAGAGCCTGTCATTTTAGAGAGAGGCATTACTTGCTTAAGCTCACTCAGCCAGTTAATAAAAAAGCCACTTACAATCTCATTACACTTCCCTGACATTTTTAGCCTGCAACAAAAGTGTGAAGAAGGTGCCTGTTTCTACTTGTCCATAAAGCCTGTCCTATGCCCCAACCCCTGCTGATGCAGTTAGGGAACCATCTAATTCACTTAACAATGCTCTCAGCCGTATAGTATAGACAACATGCACCAGTCCTCAAAGTACTTTTGCATCTATGGTTTCATTTATGTTTCACCTGCGACCTCAGGCAGAAGAGGTACTTGTGGCAGCCACTTTGTGGATAAGAAATTAAAACTTGGGAAATTCTTTTGATGCAGGTGTCAGGGGTGGGTACCAAATCTGACTTTTCTTGTTCCAACCGAAGTATTCTTGTCACTGAACCACATGGTCTTAATGTGGTGGTGTCATTAAACTGACAAACATTTTTAAAAAGATCACTCAGGATGACAGCTGGGCTTGTGGCCACATCTAGTCTAACTGTATCATTTTATAGTTGGGAAAACTGAGGCCCAGAGAAGAAAACGGTCATGCTTACCTAGTGAGAGGCACGGCTGGGATTTAAAATTTCAAGTCTTTGTTAATCACTATGTCAATTGACATATTACTGCCTCTTGTCCACAGCACAAAGTTAAGAACCTGGAACCAGGGCAGTGCATATTCTACAAGTTCTGTGCCCAGGCCTACTACATTGGTGGCAAATTGGTTGTAGCCCATGTACTTACTTTGACAGGTCAGTAGTGGTTGCCTAGAGTTTCTGAGGTTACATCTGGGCTTGATATGAACGGATTCTTTGATTGATATCGATGTCTCTCATGTATAGAGGAAGGGAAACTGGTACCAAGCAAGCCAAGTATGAAGCATTCCTACCCTAAAGTAAAACCTGAAAAAAAAAGCATAATTATTAGTAGTCATTGCACTACTTATAGAATGCCTTCTTGTGCCAGGCACTGGGTTATGCATTTTACCTGTGTTCTCATATAATCTCCATGGCAACACTGTGAAGTGCACAGTATTATTACCATTTTCAGAAGAGGAACACTGAGGCTCAAAAAGGCTATGCTACTTGCCCAACGTCTTTCATCTAATAAGATATAAAACCTAAAATGAGGGAGGCAGCTGGTTGCAGTGGAAAGGCACAATGTGTGCAATCAGGAGACCAAGGACTCCTGGCTCTGCCACTAACAAACTGCATGACATTGGACAGTTTATTGCCACATCATGGGCCTCAGTTTCCTTACTTGTAAAAGGAGAGTGCTGCCAAGATATGTCCCATGCATAATAAGCCTTTCTTTCTCTGTGACTCTGACCTTGGATAATTATCCCACCAAGAGTTTGGTGGTTGGGGAGATAAGGTTGCCTACCACCCCCACAAGGCAGAAGGAGGGAATACTGAGACAAGAATTCTTCTATTCCAGTCTCTGAAAAAGCTGGCTTCTTGTCCCCATGACAGCCCAGAGCTTCTTGGCAGCTCCAGCCCAGAGATGCTTAATCCTCCATTGACAGTTTAATTAAGATGTATGAAGGGCCATGGGAGCTGCAGATGATAGGAGAGATCCAAGAACAAATGCCCTGAGTATGCTTCCAATCTTCCCTGCCATTCATGCTACCTTCACATTCCTGGAGATTAGATTTTCCTGATAGTTCATCCCGAGTGTCTATGTGCACAGCCTTAACATTTGGGGCACTGGGGTGAGGCTGAGAGGACATATTAATTTTCTGCATACTGTTGCCCAGAAGGCTCTTCAGCCTTGCCTGTCAACAGCCCAGTTCCCTGCTGTGTCCATCCTGTCAGGTCAAATTGCATCTTGCAATTGCCCTGCTGTGTGTTTTGTTGATTTGTGCCTGGAAGATTATCTGCAAATCTGGTCACAGCTGAATTTATACATTTTCCTGCTTCCTGTGAGAGAATATTAAATACATTGGCAGACCTTATGATTAGTTCTGGGTAATCCCTCCCCTAACCTTGGAATCCTCCCTCTCTTTTCTCCCTTCTTTCTTCTTCTTTCTCACATTGACATTGTTGCTTGAATGATGTATCTTCAGGTAAAGAATAGGATACTTCAAGCTAGCCAGGGACTTAAAGATTACAATGCCCAAACTCCCCCTATGGAATGGATGGGGAAACTAAGGCCCAAAGAGAAGGGATTCTCTGTAAACAAAACCATGAGTGAGAAGTAGAACTAAGACTGATATCCAGGGCTCCTCACAGCCAGTCCAGTGTCCTTTCCAAATTGTAAACCAGACTGTAAAACGAATAATATAGTTTATCTAATTATAGGCTATTAAAACTGAAGTTTTAATAGCAACTATTTCCATGACTTTTCCCTGGAGACCTGTGATTTTCCTGGGCCCCGAATATCTTTATTGATCAGCTGGCTCAAATGACAATTGTAGATCAGTGTCTTAACAACACTTGCCGTGCACTAATATCAAGGAAATAAACCTGATACTTGTATACAGAAAAAAGTGATACGCTGCATGTATAATGATAATTTTATATTAAATAAATATGAAATCTATGTATTAACCACTGAGTTATATAGAATATATGACTCTAGCAACAGCTGTTTTTAAAAAGTAGTCCCTTAGGAAACATTTGTAATAGCCAGACTTTAGTATCCCTAAAATACATCTACCCTTTGGGAAAAGGTCACCATTTAGAAATAGTATGCTAAATGAGAAGTCTGATTGTGGTCCTGGATCATGGGCCCTGACTAGGGGCCTACCATGTGCAAGGTACTCAATTAGACTCTGTGAAGGACCCACAGGAAGGAAGACATTCTCTCAAGTAGTTTCCACATGCTTGAGACTACATACAAGAAGAGACGACTTGCAATCCTAGCAGTCTACCCTGGCCATCCAGTGAGTGCCCCACACAGTGTGTCCCATAGGAGTATCAATCCTCACAATACTGTTTCTCAAAATGAGGGTCACACAGGCCACACAGATCAGAATCACCTGGTGGGGACAATTCCTGAAAAAGACGTATCTAGGTTCCACTTCAGACTTGCTGACTTAGAATCTCTAGATTTAGAGCTAGGGAATCTGCATTTTAACGATCAATGTACATGATAATGGTGCCTACTGGAGTCTAAAAACCATTGCCTTTGGGACTGAGGTGGACTCCAAATATATAGGATTTATTCTGTTCTATGAAACAAGGATTTGATTAGACAGAACCAGCATCTCAAGTGGAATAAATAGTCCAAGCAAAGTCCCAAAGGGGAGAAGGCCCAAGGTGAGTTTAGGGGGAAATAAGGAAGGCAGTTGGGCCATATTTGGAAGATTTTAAAATGTAAGCAGATGACAATATTTGGTCCCAAGTTATCAGCTTTATTAGACAACAATATATTTGATTGGTGCAAAAGTAATTGAGGTTTTTTACCACTAAAAGTAATGGCAAAAAACCTCAATTACTTTTGCATCAACCTAATACATTCTGAGGACAGGTCTTGCAATATAGGATGACTAGAACTTGGCTACCCATGATCCAGAAATTCTGCAGTGTTTTCTTCCAATAATGAAATCAGATTCCACTGATATTCAGCTTTCTATTTCTTCTGGTTAGTATAAATATGGCCGTATTGAACAATAGATACGTCCTTTAATGTATTTAAAAGCCAGGCAGGGCCCCAGTTTCTTAATTCTCCCCTTGTTTAGGAGGAATATAATTACTCAGAAGTAATTAAAAGATTCTGAGCTATTCTGTTCATTCTGAATTTGCAAGATATTTGTACTTTGGAACCTACTGGTACTAATTAGAGCCTCTTATTTTGCAATCACTCATAATTTGTTTCTTCCTGAGCTAATCTCGCTCATGAATGTGTGATCAAGCTACACTCAGCTCTTCATTAATGCGTGCGCCGACCCCAATTCCAAGCTCACTTAATTCCAGCTTTGTTTCTTTCCCTGCCAGAGGTCTAAAATTGCCGTGTTTGAGAAGATGTGGACATACATGAAGTCAGCAGAGCCATCAGTTTTTGTGCGGACCACAGAGGAAGGGATGATCCGAGTGAGGAAATCCAAAGGCAAATATGCCTACCTCCTGGAGTCCACCATGAATGAGTACATTGAGCAGCGGAAACCCTGTGACACCATGAAGGTGGGAGGTAACTTGGATTCCAAAGGCTATGGCATTGCGACACCCAAGGGGTCTGCCCTGAGGTAAGTAGCCAAGATTTGCTTCCTTGGTACTCCCTCTCCCCTCCCTATCTCAGGAATGAAGCTTCTGTGTCTGCTACAAGGCTCCAATGCCACAATGCAAGCTGTCGAGGGGGCTCTTCTTCAACACCTATGGGCCTGAAAGATTCCAGCCACCCAAGATCTTCAGCCCTGAGGTTGGAAATTGACCTGGGGGCCTCAGCTTGCTGTGACTGTCACTGCCCATGTGTTCTTCCCCTACACCTCACCTTCCTCCTCCAAGTGTGTGAAACATCAATGAACCTTGTGCTTTTGTCGTGTGATCTGTAACACCCTATCCTTTACCAGACACCCCTGCATCCAACAACACCATGAACAGAGTTCTCCAGCAACCTGAATTCTTTGACAGAAGGTGGTTTATAATGTTTGTCTCTAAAGAAACATAAACACGTTGTCCAAATGAAAAACCAAATCTTTCGAGTCCTGAGACTCTGGCTGTGGAAATTGAAATAGTATCTAATGAATAGCACCAAATTAATTGTAGCACCTATTCTTACCTAGAGACTGATTTATTTAGCAAGATGTAGACAGTTTGATAAAGAAGCACATTCAACTTTACTTTCACATGAAGAAATCCTGATATGCATTTTCAACAGTTGAAGAAGAGTCCTGTAGACATGGAGTCAGAATACCTAGATTTAATTCTGACTGTCTTACAAAAGGTAAAACATAGCATCTCCAAGCCCTCAGTTTCCTTATCTGTAGAGGGAAAATAATTGTTCCAGCCCTTTTTAGGTCTGAGCTGGTTTGAGTTCAAGTGGTATAATTTATGCTGAAGGTCACTGAAAACAGTAAACTGTGAAGTCACCTATGAGACATTATGTCAATTACAGAAGAATTCAATCATTTGGGGGAAGTGTTGCATTTCAGGAAGGGTAAGAAGTATTAATAAAGTTTGAAAAATGATGGAGACGGATTCCTAACCCATCTGGATATGATACCCTGGTCCACCTCTGCCTCTACTTTATTCATTTATCTTAATAATACTAAGCCTCAACATTGTTCTGGGGACTGGGCTAGTAGCTGGAGCTACAATTTTGAACAAAAAGACATAGTCCCTGTCCCCGTGCAACTACATTCTTGCAGGAGAGACGGACATTAAAGAAATGATTAATGTTTAATGACAATTCTAATAGATACTAGGACAGTCTATAAACGGGGACCTAGAGGACATCTACTTCCTGCAATGTAGCAGAACAAAATTCTCACTATGAAACAACCAGATATGCTGGATAAGGTATAACAAATAGCCTTTTAAATGCAAGTTAAGAAATCCCAAGGACCAAAAAGAAAAAAACAAATCAAAACCAGAACTAAAAGCATAAGCTTATTATTCTGGGACCACCCTAAGCAGAGCAAAGGTATAAATCACGTGACAATCTACATGCGCAACAATTGACAGTACAACTAAAGACATAAAAGTAATCAAAAACATTTTAAGAGAAAAATACACTATCATTAAAGACCAGATATATTCCAAAAAGTCTGAATTAGAACCTATAGAAATAAAAAATTCATTCATTTATATAAAATCTCAGTGGAGGGGTTGAACAGCAAATTAGATAAAGTTAAAGAAAGAATTATCCACTCGGGGGTGGGGGGAATCAAAGAAAATTCCCCGGAATAACACACAGAAAGATGAAAAGAAAATGTAACAAAGAGTTTAAGAGACATGAAAAAGAAAAAAAATTGAATCTGCTGTGAGTTCCAGACAGAGACAAAAGAGAATGAAGTGGAGGCAATGTTTTAAAGAAATTTTCTGGAATTTATGGAAAGCGTAAATCCTCGGATTTGAAAATCAGTCTTAAGCATAATAAATAGATAAAAATCAGCAGCTGATTCAATTGAAAGTGCAGAACCATAAAGACAAAGAGATCTCAAAGACATCCAGATTTAATAATGTTCAATTTGGTCTGCAGGATGAGTGGGGCATGGCTGAGAAGACAGGTCCAAGGATGTTTTTTTCAAGCTGAAGTTTGACAGATTAATAGGAGTCAACTAAGTGAAGGGAGGAGAAGGGAAGAAAAGAGTAGCTGAGGCAGAAGAAACAGCATGTGCAAAGATTCTAAGGCAAGAAATCATTGCACAGTCGATTAACCAAAAGCCACTAAGTGTTCTTGGAACACAGGTAGTAATACAGAGGAGAAATGTTTAAGCTGAGATTGGAGGATGAAGTGGGGAAGAATTTTATAAAGAACTTTTGTCCTTATTCGAAGAGCAATGAAAATACTTTGAAGAACTTTAAGTAATTATCTGAAAATTGAGAGAATAAAGATACCTGGAGAAGTGTAGACATAATTGAATATGAACTAATGAAGATAAATGGTCTGGTATTTATCAGTCATGTGTTATTGCCTGGTAGAATCTAAAACACTCTTTACAAGTTTGAGCAAAGTTCAAAGGGGATTCAGATGATACTGTTTGGCAAGGAAGAGGCTTTTATCTCAGAAAGTTATTGATCATCAACCTAGAAAGACTCAAAGTAGAGAATGAGTTTTTATAGTTTCAGGAACATCAGTGATACCGCAATATTACAATGCACTGAAGGTTTCATGAGTCAAGGACATCCACATAAATACGTGGATGTGAAGTTAAGAAAACAAAGCACAGACACATAACATAATTTGTCCAATCAATAGAATACCTGTGCCATCCCATCCCACACACGGTTTCCTGGAACAAGGTAAGGTAACAACAACTCAGGAAATACTATATATTTCCTGCTACTGGAAATACTGGAGTGACATGAACCTAAAACTCAGGCCATTTGGCACTCAAATGGCTTTCCACTATAATAAAAATCATCACTGAGTCAGTGCATATTAAGTGCCACTCACTGTGGTACTTGCATTACCTCTTATAACCCTTGCAACATGCCTATAAAGTACCATTATTTCCATTTTACAGATGAGGAAACAGAGTAAGAGTTAAGTTGCCTAATCAGGTTGACACAGCTAATAAGGCAGAAGCCAGATTTAAAGCCCTGGCAGTCTGACTTCAGAGCCTACGGCTGTAACTCACTCTAATGTTGCACTGGGCTTTATGAATGACAGCACCATTTAAGGCAGGGAACTGGACTTGGGCCAGGTTCTTTGCACCTACTCACATGGACCAAATAACCACCAACTTGGGAATTAAAACCAGATCTTTGAAGTCCAGAGCAGCCACTCACCACTCTGAAGGCAAAAAGTGATCATGGACACTGGCTTTAACACACCCAGCACCATTCCTTTGAGGAGTAACCCTGCTTTTTTGGATTTGCTTGCTGAAAGACAGTTTCTGGAACAAATGATGAAAATAATTCTGCTTCATAATAAAGAAAAAACTAATTCTTTTGCATAAATCTCTGTAAAACATGTAACAAGCCATTTATTGATTTCAAAAAAAGAGAGCAAGAGTAAAAAAGAGAGAAATGGAAAAACAACATGTTTCAAATGCAGATCACTGATGACTGAACTGGAAGTCAAGAACACCCAACTGATGGCCATATGCTCCTGTCTTCCCACAGTGCTCCTTTCTCTCCAATGCAAACTTGATGGTAGTCATGGGGCCATCATAATTCCAGATTCAAAAACAGAAGAGTAACACTCGTCCTAAGAGGACCTCAAGGGTCTGGCCTGGGAAAGTTCCTCTACCCTTAATGGGATTCTGCTTCTCATCTGTGCATTAAAAGGGAACACTGCTAGCAACCAATAATGTAGAGGTTCCACAAAACACACCATTGAAGAATGGTTGCAGAAAATACGAGTAACCATGCCTCCCCCACAGCCCACCCCCCACACACATACTCCAGCCAGGTTTCCATTATAACTCTTTTCCACACCCCATATGATGCCATTTGACCCAAGACATGGTCAAACTCCAAACAGTTATAGCAGACCAAATACCACAAACACATGTGCCTGCTCCAGCAATCCTAGATCCACTGACTTGATCCCAGGAAACCATTCTGCATGACAGAAGTGGGCAGTAAGGAGAAGAGCAAAGACATTTGTGCTTCCTTTGGACCCATTGAAGAGGGGCTGATGTGTGCTTAAAGATAACCTGGCAGAAGAAATCCAATTTCGTTCAAATGATTTTGAATCATAAAAAAATACTTTTTTAAAAGACTGTTTAACTACTCACAAGGCTGCAAACTCTTTGGAAGTGTTTACACTACAAAAAGGTGCTTGAGTTTGTTCCAGGTATTATTATAAACTTCTCTTCAGCCCAATCAAAGGTAGGGTTTTTGCAGCTTTCACAGGAAGATGTCCTCCAGGCTTACTGCCTGTACTTGTATCAAGAGAGGACCTTCCTGGCCATGCTCCTCCACTACTTTCTCTCCATAAAGCCAGACTTCGCTGTGCCTGTGGCGCGTTCACTCTCTTACAGCCTGCCTAGAACAAGCTCCAGATTTCTCCAAGATGGATCACCCAGTTATGCTTCAGAAGATCAGAGAACTGACACCTAAGGCCCAAATGTTCCTCCAAAACTTGCCAAGTCTACTTGGCAGAAGCCAGGCCATGGTCCCCACAGAGTGTTAAAAAGCTATGTTAGTGACAGAATGGTTTTTGGTTGTTGTTGTTTGTTTCTTCTGCTCTGGAAACAAATACTCTGATGAAGCGAGGTGGTTCAATGCTTGATTTTCCATTTGGACAGGTGGCGTTTCTTTGAAACAGATGCTGTTTGTTGGCTGTCACTGCATGTTTGGGGGTGGGAGAGGGGCTGTTATGTTTCATGAGCCCTCGGGTTGTAGATAAAGACCTATGCAGCCAATGCCAGTCACTAGGGAAAGGCAACTGGTAAATCTACTAATTATGATCTATTGGCCCTTTTGGTGCCAACTTAATGTATCTTGCTAGCCTAAACTGAAATGTCTTTTCTTTATTATGATGAACACTTCCTCCTATGTGTTCAAACTTCCTAAGTAAGGGGGCATAGCCCATGTTTTATAAGCCCAAGAAAGAATCCATACCAGATTGGCC